GAAAACTCAACCAAACTGAAGTCAAATGAAGTGAACTCCCCCGTTGGTCGACCGACCATTGGCCAAGCTCAGTTAAGTTGACCCATTGAGGTAATGCGGTATTGCTGACTTGAGACATTGACTGGGTGTGAGTGGTGTGTGAGAATCGTGCGTAAAAGTGGGTGCACGGGTTCACCCATCGACGCCCCCGACGTCGAGATTTAATTATGCGGTTTTTATTGATTTGACACATTTTTAGCGGCTTTTGTTTGCCGCAACTGGCTTAAACAGCTGGGCTGCTTCTATATTTGGCTCTAACCAACACACACTCTATGGGGTGTTGGCCCAAGGAGCTTTAAATTATTCCTAGTTTGGTTCCCTGGTCAAGACTCACATTATTGCGGGCTCCCACATCGGCGCCCAGCTCAATCATGCGATCCATTATGGCCGTCTTATTGTCCTTCGTGGCGTACATCAGCGGCGTCATGCCGGTATTCTGTAATGGAAATTTATGGGATTTTAGTTAGAAAACGTTAAAAGGGGATAACTTTTTATATAATAATTACAAGTATATATTCCTTATCTTATAATAATTAATAAGAGTAGCATGATTAGTCAAAACATATAATCATTACAGGAATTTGATACTTAAGCAAGTAGGCGTTCTCAATAATTGTAGATTGATAAGACTTTTTTCCAGTTTTTTAATCACTACAAGGCAGTCGAGTCATGTAACGTTTTTACTGATAAGAAATTGTATGGATTGCATATTGTTTAATCTCTTTTTAAATATACTTTGATTCTTATTATGGCGCCTATTAAGAAAACATTAAGAAATAGAAGCTATTAGCTATAATGATATGATTACAATGGCTCGTCTTTGTGTAATCTAGAGTGAACTAGAGCTCTAAGGATTAGCCAAAACAAAATATTATTATACACATACTACAAAAATTTCAGTATATATACGGCATTTGAAGATACAAATTACAAATCACTGACCAGACATCTCAGTCACATATATTCTACATTATTGCGATAGGACTCTCCCGCTGATAAGCTGCTTTTCATATTCATATATAAGCTCGTTTACCCATAATTAAAACGAAATCAAGAGCAAACCCATCAAGTCAAGAACCGAATAAAGACCCAAAGCCCGGAGAAACGGAAATAATCAAGGCAAAAATAGCTCAACTCTAGGCTATATTTATGCAAATATCGTCTCGGCCTCAGTCTAGTCTGGCAGACAACAATCTGAGTTTGGTAGAAGGAAAAATCCCCCTAAGGGAAGTTCAACCCTTTTTTTTCCCGCACACCTCCCCCCGCATTTCATTAGCGGTGCAACGTTAATTTTATGTCAACGACTTCTCCGTTTCATACCGTTTATGGTAAATTGAAATCGAAGCGCTTCAATTCTTCGATGTTTTATGAGTTTATCGGTCGGCCGGGTAGTCAGCGCAACTTGTGGCAGGACGCCGCCAGGAACTTGGAGCTCCAAAAAAAATGAAAGCCACCAAAGCCATCGCCTTGGCAGCCAAAACATTTGGGCCGCGCTATCAAATAACATTCGCTATTCTCAGTTTTCTGGCTTTTTGCTTTCTAGCCTCTGTTTTCTGGCTTATAATATGTTCTCCGGCCTGGCCACCAGTTCCTCCTCGGCTCGGTGTGTGTCGTTATTTTGGCTGGTAAACAACCAGAAATGGGAAAATGCCGCCGACGTTGATAAGGGCGACGTTTGTACATCGTCTGCACTTAGGGAAATATTGCCTATGAAATGGGTTCTTTATTTCACTACTTAAATATTATTTTCCAATTAAATAACATTTTTAAAATATAGATTCCTAAACTAAAGTTGAAACCATAACAACTTTCTCCTTTACAATTATACATCCTAAAAGCAATAATTTTCTCTAACTGTAAGACCTGTTCCTGTACTTATTTCGCTTCCTGTTCCCGCTTTGACTCGCAATTGATTTTACAAATTCTGGCAAATGAGCCGGAAAGCACTTCACTGTACAGTACTCACCATGTCATGAACTCCGGCCAACGGTATGTGATTGCCGTCCTCGCCCACATTGGCCACATACTTCTCCAGCTTCTTGAGTTCCGCCTCAATGGGCGTCCACTCGCTTTTCATGGCCAATCCGAGGACCTTGTTGGCCGTATCCCGAATCGAGGCACCGGCACTTGGAGGCTTGGGAGCAGGAAATAGATCCATATCCTTCTTATCCCCATTGCTCGAGCTGTCGTCCTTCGGATCAGAGTCCGCTTTACTGGCCGGCGTGGCCCTTTCACTAGGCGTGGCCGAATCATCTGGTGGACCGGTCAGGGAGGAGGGGGTTTTACGGCCAACGCCGGCACCTCCTGCACCGCCGCCACGCCCACCGCCACGCCCTCCGCGCGGCTGCGACATCCTGAAAACTCTTTTCGATTAGCGCTCCAACAATCAATTGCTGATCATTGGGATTTTCCGGTTAGTGTGAGTATAGGGGAATTCGATGGTTAAACGGAAACACTGACGGATGCTAACTGGTTTATGCTGCCATTATCCGAGTAATACCTTTAGGTTATTGTATTATTATTGATTCGATACGGGGTATGGCGGATTTTTAGTTGCATAGTTTCGGGCTAGGGCTCGGGGTCTGGCTCTGGTTCTAGTTATGGCTCCTTCACTTCGCACTCGCATTGCACAAATTCCTACGGCCTCCGCATTTTACCAATATTTGTTACCAACAATTTGCATTTTCATTGGCAACAGCAACAGACACACTAAGAACACACTAAGAGCCAACACACAAATACACAAACAAACCGAAAAACACTCGCTATTATTCCACTTTGATTCTTTCGCTTTCTTCACTTTTACTACACAAATTTATATGTTTAGCCCCTTTATGGCTTCGGTTGCGTGTGCGTTAACGGCGGTGCCCCCTTTATTATATATTTTCTTCTTCTTTTATTTTTTGGCCAAAAGAGTCCCCAACTTCAAGTGTGGATTTCTGGTTTCTGTTTGCTAGAGGAGCGACGAGAAAAAATCAACCGTTTGCCACGAGCGTCTGCGAGTTTCTGATTTGCCAGTTGCAATGCACAGAGTCGAGTTTTCCCAAGGCGCTCGAGCGGAAAAACTCGGCCCTCCAATCGGTTTGGTAGCTTTGGCAACACGACGAAGCTCCAAAACTCGAAGGACGCAAGACGCTCCCGCGAAAATGGTAGGAAGAGCCTAAGTAACATCCGCGCAAGCGTTTGTTTACAATTGTTGAATACGGGTAATACCGCCTTTTTTGGCGCCAAAATCTGGTCGCAGCTCTTAAGTTTCGTTGGGATTTCCATTGTCGTTAAATGCCGGTGGGAAATCCAAATGAACATACAGTGGTGATTATAACATCCTTGCTGATTGGAAGTGGAAATCCCAAATGGTCGGATAAGTTATGATATGTACTCATGCTTGGTATAATAGCTTTTTATCTAGACTCTAATGAATGGCGGTATTCTTATTTAATCAGCTTAGGTTAAAAACATATACAAAAACATTTCATTAAAACAGCAATCGATTTATATGTTTTTCCTTCATCTCGGAGTCGTCGAATGAGCTTCCTGCTAACATCTAATCCAATTTTAGTGATTGTTAATTCCCGATTTAGTTAAATTATCGTAATACCTTACTTTCTGCAACCAAACAATTATCCTAATTAGCTTTAGATTAAAGTTTTGCTCGTCACACCTATTTTATTGTCCAGGCGAATTTTCAGTCTGAGCAATAAAATATCCTCAATTTAAAGCTTCTGACTTCCGATGCACCAAAAATTGATCGTAACAGTGTAACCATAATAAAAAAGTAAGTTCCCATAATATGTTATGTTTATCAATAAAAATCTGTATCCCTCTAATAAAAACACAAATACACCTATTATTTTGTCCATGAGTGTATGTAGATGTTAAATGAAAAAAGTAATCCTTTATAGTTTCACATCCTGATCTTGTTTTTACACTATGGCAGTTACAAAAGTAGATATAAAATACCAAGGTTAATTAAATAGAAATATTTCCCATTTTTAAGGCTCGTTGATAAGAGCACAAAACACAGCAATGAGAGGAAGTTATAACATCGACCCACGCGAATTACGTTTTCTTACTTATCAGTGATGCCGTTTAAAAATATCTTATCTGTAGTTATTGGTTTTTAATCAGATAAGTTTAAATTTTTTGATAAAAAAAAATCAGCTTGAATTCATTTTTTAAAATGTGATATAAACAAAGCAAAGTCAAAGCAAAAGTCAAAGCAATTACAAAATGGCAAGTCATATAAACCACAAAAAAAGCTTTTTCATTTATCTTTCTCTTTAATCTCTTTTTCACTTAGTGCAACAAACAGTAAATACTTTATTTGGATTTACTAAAAAAAAACTACTAAAAACTATTAAAAGCTGTCAAACAACTGCCTTTAAACATGTCCAGAAAATCGTATAACTAAAATGTAAAGTTCACTCTTAACAGATGGGCAAATATTTGGGAGAGCGAATATTTCTGGCAGATCAAAAAGCTGCGAATCACGCCACAGTGAAAAAGCAAACATAAGCAAGGGCGTAGCAAAGATCTTTTAAGGGGGACCTCTGTAAGACAATTTTTTGCATTTCTTAGATTAAAGAATTTTAAATTAAATATTAATATTTAATAGTAAATAAAGTTAATTTTTAATATTTAAAAAATTTAATAAATTTAAACAATCCCGTTTCTACGACTCTGACTACTAGAACCTACTGTTAGGTACACCTACGAGTAATTTAAATAAAAACACCCACACAGATGTAACCTGCGCTCACACGTGCTGCGGAGAGCAAATAAAAAGCGAAAGCAAAATAAAAGCGTTAAAACACAAAGCAAAACAAATGCCGGCAATGATCTTGTCTCTCTCTACAAATAACGAACAAAGAAAAAACAATAAAGACGAAAAAAAAACTAAAGAGCACCGACAGAGGCAGCGAAAAGTGGCAGAACGATTGTACGACGATTAGAAGACCTCCGCTCAGTTTGTATTAGAACTTGACGGGCTGCGTACGTTGCTAGATTCCTATAACAAAAACGATAATAAACTTGAAAATAAACTTTTTAAGTTAAAGTGAAATTGTGCATATTATGAAATAACAGTAATTAAACATCTATTAAAACCAACTGTGATAAACGACAAGATGAACAGGAAACTTCAGAGCTTCTCCAAATATATGCTCAGGCAGAGATGCGTCTTCAACTCAATGCGAAGGTAGGCAGGGCACTCAAGGATCTTTATCGTTACATCAAGGTCATTTAGTGTTTTATCTTCCAACAAAGAGAAGAAGCTGGTAGGAACTATGCACAATTTAAATGCGCAGTTATGGTCAGGTCGTGCTTATATAGTATACGAGGTGTGTTCAAAAAGTAAGGTGACTCTTCAAATTTCGCGAATTTCAAATTTTTCGATTATCGAAACCTTTTAGAAGTTATACGAGGTGTGTTCAAAAAGTAAGGTGACTTTTCAAATTTCAAATTTTTCAAATTTTTCGATTATCTTCAGTTTTGGGAACAAGAAAAAGTCACATGGGGCCAAATCCGGTGAATATGGTGGCTGAGGCATTATTGTGGTGTTGTTTTTGGCCAAAAAATCCAAATCCTTTGATCCATATTTTTCGATAGCAAAAAATCGCCGAGCTCGCAAAATAACTTGTAACTTTACGCCTCTCACAACCAAACAAAAGAGGATGTTCCATTGAAACTTGGTACAGATGTTAGGGAAGAGTGTACCAATATAACAAAACAAAAAAATCGATAATCGAAAAATTTGAAATTCGCGAAATTTGAAGAGTCACCTTACTTTTTGAACACACCTCGTATATACCCCCACAAGTAGCCACGTTGCGTAATATTTGAGATTCCAGATAGATGGTACAGTTGCCAATAGTCAGAACCTAAGAACTTCATATAATAAGCTTAAGTTGATCCCTAGCTTAAGTCCTTTATTTAAAGGGGGTGTGGTTGAAAAGTGAGGTCCAAATATAGACAGCAGCAGGTCGCTTTAATTATCGAGTATTAATTTAGATGAATTTCAAAAGATAAGCAAATCGTCAACAGAAATTTCCACTCGCTTGATAATTTATGGTGACCACGAGAGTTAGTATGTTTGTTAGTATGTGTTTATATATATGATTTATCAAGAAGTGTTAAGTACAATTCATGAATTCATGTTTACAATTACAACATTATTGTTGTAATGTGCAAAATTCGCTTAATTGTCAAGACTGATTAAGTTTAGCAAATAAAACATATTGTCAAGCTCCACGAAAGGCATTGAAACCCATTAAAAAAATCGTTTCGGAAGCGGATTTTAGAATAAGCAAGTGTTATCATTCAGCAAAACTATCAAGTGATAATGAAGTAATATACATATATGTTTACAAATGTGGGCTTATACATTAAGCTTTTTCTATTGATAAAAGCTTTTGCAGTTAGCAAATATTTGAGTCCAATGAGCAAAAACACAAACCGCTAATGATGAAATTCTGTTTTTGACATGTAGACTATTAAGTGGAAAAATGTCAAATTCAAATTGAATAAGTGTAGATAAGATAAAATATAACAAGATATTATATTTTTTTAAATATTATAAATAAATTAATTGTTTACTTACTTTAATTTCTTCAGCATCTCCTCCTCGATCCCCACGCTGATCAGTCATAAACACCATGTGGGCAAGGATCATTTGGTATATCGTACGATTGGCCAGCAGTTGGAGCTAGCCACGCAGGATTATGGCGATGTGGAAGCTATTGTATCCTATCACGAGGGCAAGAGATATACCTTCAAGAGTTTGCTCAAGGAAGCGGATGCTTTGGCTGCAGGATTCCGAAAACTGGGACTCCAGCCTGGCGATGCCATTGGTCTGTGGGCTCCCAACTATTTGCACTGGTATTTGGGCATGATGGGAGCAGCTCGTGCTGGTCTCACATCTGTGGGTCTTAATCCTGCCTACCAAGGACCCGAGATGGCCTATTGCCTAAATAAAGTTGATGTCAAGGCCATCATTGCGCCAGAGACATACAGGTCGCAAAACTACTATGAGATTTTAAAGAATATCTGTCCCGAAATTTCGGATGCAGAGCCTGGTAAGATCCGGAGTGAAAAGTTCCCGCACTTAAAGTCCGTGATAATCGACAGCAGCAATGGCCTAAAGGGAACTCTTCGCTTTGATGATTTCTTGGATCTGGCTAACCAATCGGAACGCGAGGAGGTGGCCAAGATCCAGAAGAAAATCAACCCGGAATCCGCTTGTAATATTCAATTTACCTCCGGAACTACCGGAAATCCCAAGGCGGCTGTCCTTTCACATTTCAACTTTGTGAACAATGGCATCCATGTTGGAAATCGCAATCAACTCGAGGGCGAAAGGATCTGTGTGCAGGTGCCTCTTTTCCATGCCTTTGGAGTAATCATCACCATAATGGCTGCTCTCACTAAAGGAGCTACCCTGGTCCTGCCAGCCGCCGGTTTTAGTCCCAAGGACTCCCTGAATGCCATCGTCGACGAGAAGTGCTCGGTGATCCATGGCACACCCACAATGTATGTGGATTTGGTAGATACTCAAAAGAAACTGCAAGTGCCGCTGGGCAGGATCAAGAAGGCCGTAACCGGAGGAGCCATTGTTTCGCCACAGCTAATCAAGGATATCAGACAGATCCTAAACGTAGAAGCCGTTCATAGTGTCTATGGCCTTACCGAAACCACAGCCGTGATCTTCCAATCCTTACCCGGCGAAAATGGCGATACGGTCCTAAATTCAGTGGGTCACCTGACGGATCACATCGAAGCCAAAGTGGTGGATGAGCAGGGCAGATGTGTACCATTCGGACAACCCGGAGAGTTGTGTGTCCGTGGTTATACGTCTATGTTGGGCTATCACGGTGATGAGGAGAAAACAAAAGAAACCATTGGCGCAGATAGGTGGCTACGCACTGGTGATCAATTTATCCTAGAGTCGAATGGCTATGGCAGGATCGTGGGTCGTCTCAAGGAGATGCTTATTCGTGGCGGTGAAAATATATTCCCAAAAGAGATTGAAGACTTTTTAAATGCCCATCCACAGGTTATTGAAGCTCAAGTGAGTTAAAGCTTAAATATTAATTAGTCATTATAAAATTTATTACAACTATTACTAATATTTTCACATATTTTAGGTTATTGGTGTGCCCGATGAGCGTCTGGGCGAAGAGGTCTGCGCCTTTGTTCGCCTTGAGGATGGCGTTGATCCCGCCTCCTTCACTGCCGCGTCTTTGAAGGCCTATAGCAAGGGCAAACTGGCACACTTTAAGGTTCCTAAATATGTCTTAGTAGTGGATTCATTCCCAAAAACTACCTCAGGCAAGATTCAAAAATTCAAACTGGCCGAGATTTTCAAGGAGAAACAGCAACGTCTTGAAGCCACTGCAGCTTAGTCGTAAAATATTTGTAATTTGTTCAATAGAACAATAAATGTAGCTTTTATATTTTATATAAACTCAAAATCTGTCGTAAAAAGTTATGAATACCTTTTACCGTTTTAGATTTTAGTACTAATAGTATTAGTATTGCATACTTCTGGGCTTACGAAGTAAAGCGTATCTAAGGAAAAGATAGATTTAGGGGTGCATGGGGTAACCTTAAATAAAATCAGTTTATTTATATATAAAGATTCACCAAATGTTTCTGTAAGTTAAACAAGATTAACAAAATGTTTATTCAAGTTGTGCATCTTATTTCGGGGCTAAGCCAATTAACACATAACATTATCGGTTGCGTAAAATATTCCATAATTTACGCCCAGAATGCATTTGTTCAGTCAATATTTGTTAAAATTTTGAGCAACAACAGATTTTTCCAGCACAATAACCTTTAATCTGTCTGTTAATATTCCCTTATCATCTTAAGCAGAGTGTGGTGCTTTAACACCAATTAACGCTTATTAAAAACAGACTTTTAATTTGTTATTTTCTTATCATTGAACTAGTTAAAGGTTGGTTTCAATGTATAATAATGTTAATCAATCTTATGACATTAATAAAATCTATTTATATTCCAAAAAAAAATTAGTAGTTGACTTTAACCATCAACGAAATAAACGTGCTGCTCGAGATATGGCGGTAAAAACATCGTTGGAGCTCGTGCGACTTCCAAGCGATTAAAAACGCGCGAAAAGGCGAACCCGTTCGGGTTTCGTTAGCATCGGAACCATTGCTCGATCTTTATGACCCGGCAACTGATTGGACCTTTATGTCTGTGTTTTCGCAACGCTCTGATAGGAGCCAGCTTTAGTCATCTGACATCTGAGAACGAGAATCGTAACATATAACCGATTATTGCGGAAAAATACGCATTAAGATCCAGTTGGGGCGGCATTAACATCAAAATTCTAATCGCCACCAAAGTGGAATAGGCCAGTCAAACAAGTTAAGGGAACGGACTCGCCTTTATACCTTCCTCTCGGTTTGGTCTTATCAATTCGGTGGCGATAACGAATCAACTCCGATTTTTGAGCGCTCGAAAGGTCCAAATATTTGGCAACATTTCAGTTTGGGATCATCGAGCGCTCGAATCGGAGGAGACGTATGTAAATATCTGATATAGCTTGGGCCAATTAATAAAATTAATAAATAATCCAGCTTCGATGATTCGGTGGTTTTCGATACAATTTGCATAGGTCTGACCGAAAAACACAGGTCATTTGGCATTGGAATATCTTTTTTGATCTGCGAATCGGATATTTAGTTGAATCTAGTTTAGTTTGTCGTAGGTTAGTAATGTTTTGACCGGCTTTAAATACGTATCAGTGGTTTCGAAGAGTTTCTCAATTTGTTTTTCAAATATTGATAGCAGTTATCTGGAAGTTGGTAAGATAAAGCTGACATTAAGCAATCCCTTGATTAGTTATTTTTCTAGTTTTTGTAATACCAAAAGTGTATGCCTATGATGTGAAATGATAGAAAAACTAATCTAACAGAGTGGGGAAACAGGCCAATATCTTAAGTCTAAAAAAAAAGTGGAAAAATTTAAAAATTCCCAAAAATATTTGTATAAATACTGCTGATCATTGATTGGATTTCAAATTAGTAATGGTAATAACAAATCTAACCAAATCCCTTTAAACTTCCCAAGTTTTATGGACTTCCTTTCAGCTTTCATGTTGATAAAGACACAAACATAGGTCCAGAGATAGAGACTCAGACTAGTACTTGAGTTTGTTTTGGCAAAACAAAGTCAGCCGATTTCAAGGTTAACTCATAAATAAGCATTAAGATATGAGACATGGGTTAATAGCAAAAATCGAGAGCCATTAAATTAAACATTATCTTTTAATAACTTCGATGAGTGTTAAAATTAAGACAAAGAAAATCACGGCAGACTGCAGTGTGCAGTAATCTAATCACAAATCCCAGTCATGGGTTGCATTAGTTTTTTTTTTTATTTCATGTGCGAATGGAAACTTCGATTCAATTGCAATATAAATCTTAACCTGTCAAACAGTAGCTAATTGAATTTATTTGTTTGCATAATCTCAATATTTAATTTCGTTATCTAAAGTTATTCGCGCATAAATTATAGCAATCCGATGCCGTAGGGAAAGTGTAACTTTGATATAGCAGTGCTAAGTTTGTTTTCCAGTTTCCCAGACGTAATTGAATATTTATAGATTGCACTTTCAGCGTTTTTATGAGTTTATTAAGTGCGAATTATTTCAAAAATTGTGTTACGCGACTTGTGGTAATAATTATAATGCAATCAAAAAGTTACACATTTCGATTCCCCAATATTGATGCGCAAATCTTTTTTTCAACTAACTAAACTATTTCTCACACTTAATTATTTAAGTCAATTTTATGCTAATTTTTGACGTATTACTGCCACCTGTAATAAATTGCAATTCTAACAATGTTGATCTCGTTCTGTAATAGTTTTTTAAAATACAGATCATTTATTAATTGATTCATAATTAAACAATAAAAACTGGAAACTGAAAGAAAAACGATTGAGTAGGAAAAAAAACATAAATGAGAGTTACATAGTTATGAGTTTTGGAGGATAATTTGCTGCTAGATTTCATCATTATTTTCCTTTTTTTTTTTTTACAAATTCATATTGGACTTCTTAATAAGATCATAGAGATTTTAGGTAATATTTCTGACTAGGTTCTACTGTAGTTGGCAGAGATGTTTATGATGCAAAATATAAATGCTGCCACATTCTGAAAATAAAGCTTCTTCGCAGAAGGAAAGCTCTTGGTGGACATTTTCAAAAAATATTTCCAAATACATGTATTAATAGAAGAGATTTTTCTAATGTTTGCACAATGGAAAATCTCAAAAAAATAATAAATAATTTTAATCAAATAAACATCAAATACCCAAAATAATATTTGCAAAATCAAAATTCACTATCGGTAAATCCACTCAAGCTTGGATTTTGACTCGATAAAAAGGGGGAACTTGGACCGGGAGCGGAACCAAAGCTGTGCCGATTTTTTAGCTGGGGGCTTTTATTTTTTGGGGCACTCAGTCCGCGACGGAGACCCAAGTCAGACGCAGTTTCAGATCAACCGGAACCACAGTTGTCCAGTTTTGTGGCTGCGTTCACCGGCGACTGACGAGCGATCAGAACGATCAGTCCGCCGAGTTCAAACAACCGTACAAATAAACTAGATTGCAACTGTGTCAGTATCTGTGGGTATTTCTCTATGTGTGTGCGTGTGTGTGTGTTAGTGTGCGGGCGAGCTTAGCCAATTTCTACGGGTATAGGCATATATATAGTAGCGCCAGAAGTCGCGTACGCGCATTCGAGCATCAAACATCTACGGCCAACGTCTAACGGTCGCAAATCGAACGAAATCGAAAATAAATCGAAGCCGAAACCGAAAAGTAATCGAAGCAATTCGATAAAACCCGATCATTTCCGGTGTGTGTGTGTGCGTGTGGCATATTGTTGTAAAGAAAAAGAACGAAAAAAAAAAACAAAATAAAACCCCTGAATAAGTGCTGCAGCCCCTTCTCTTTCGCACTTTCGACTCACGCACTCAGCAGCAAACAAAAAAAAAGTAAATAATAATAAAAAAAAAATCAGCAACAGCGAGGCTCTGCTAATTTTAAACGGTAATCCCATGTTTTTGTTTTTGCATAAATTTATTACAGTCCACCGTTGCTGACAGTGTATGAGTGTGCTTTTTCCAGCGGGTGTGTGTGGTCGCGTTTGTTATTTGTTTATCGCTGTCCACGCATTTTCCGCTCCCTCAAAAAACAATATGGTTTTTTAATATTTGTAAATCGATAACTGATAAGGGATAACGACTATAAAGTAAGTCTACTCGATTTGATTGCCATATCTAATCGAAATAATTTCGAAATATTGTGTTCGTTTCAAAAATTTATTAGTTTCTAATTTGATTTTATGGTTAGTTGCTTTTGAACGAATGGAACTTAACGTTAAAAATGTAGGTTTATAGGACTATACAAATATTATTTTATTTATTTGTTCTTTCTATCTTCTAATAATTAGGTTTAATGTATTTATAAATCGATAACTGATAAGAAGAAACCGATTACCAAAGTTTATTTAACTTGATTACCATATCTAATCGCATAAATTAGCAAAATGGGAAGTGCCATCATTTGCAAATCATTTCCTTTTTAATTATTCCAAAAAAAATAAACGTATTAAAATATCTAAAATAAAGAGCATTAATACGCAGTGTTATTTCTTATCTTATTTCGTATTAAAAGAAAAATTATAAAACCTTACAGTTTCGAGTTAATAGAACAATAATAAATCCACAAATAAAAGGCGCTAGAAGATCAATATAGAATTTGTTTGCCCATCCTCCAAGCGATCGTGTGCCCCTCAAACTTATGAAATCGCTCGATCAGATGCGATACTCAACTTAAGAATAGAGGCAAAAAAAAAAGAGCACTTAGGAGCTGATAATCACACGAGCTAATATTGAACAAAAGGTGAGCTGTAAAGTGATGAAGCCTGCCTGCCATAATATCGCACCTGAAAACGCTTTTGAATCAAACAAAAGGCAAATTAGGATCGTAAACATTTAACAATATCCAAATAAAAGTCGGCATTTGATGGAGATTTTAGTATTTAGCGCTGGCTATGGGCCTTATCTTATTTATCTATCTTTTGCCCAGAAACAGATATATATTATGGCAGGGTACGGTATTTGCAGCTCGTTTGTGTTGGCAAACCTAATTAGCTGGCAGTCGTCGAGTCGTAACACGGGAAACCTTGCGAAAATTGAGAATCAGTCGCAGCGTCCAATTTGGCATTTGAATTGTCACCCGTTCTTTGTCAATTAGCCGACATAATTGGAGTACAATGTGCATTTGCATCGCATTGGACGAACGTCACTTGGCCCACTTGGGGAGTTTGAACTTGAAAAACCCAATGCCCCTTGATCTACCTCTCGCCCCTTGATCTACCCGCCTCACATCCCGCCAGATCCCTGGATCTCAATTTAGACGAAAAAGCATACATCTCTCAATCCCCACGAAAACGAGGAAGTCTTGCTGGGCCCAATGAGCTGCTCAGTGGGTCGTCTATTTAGCCAGCAGATTTAAATGCGAATGCGCTTGACCCAAACAGCAGTGGCAGTAGTATGGTAGCCTCACTAGAACCCACGAAATCCCCGCTACATTTTTTTTTTGGACCTTCGATGGAGGCCCCATGTAAAGTCGTGTGTTTAATTATCGCGCATACGCCGCATTGCCGCCGCAGACGGACGCAGCAAGCAAAACACGAAAATCACAAACATCCTGCACTAATTTCAAGGGGGTCGGAGTGCCGGGATTCGACTAATTAGTCTCAGGCGGTGTATAATTGTCGGAGACGTAAAAGACTATAAATGGAATCGTGGCAGAATTAGAATAAAGTACAAGCATTAGAAACCAGTAAGAATATAATTTTAAAAACAATTTCAAATAGCTTATTTTTTCACTTTTCACCTATTCCCCTTTCAGTCACCGACCTTGCTATCTTAAATACTTCATAAATTCAAATTTTATTAATATTTAAGTAGTTTTTAAAGGGAAAACCTCTGTAGTTCTGCTTCTGTGGCTATTATTTTTAGCCCCTGACCTGGTCATTTCAAGTGACAAGTTCAAGTGGCACAAGTTCAAGTCTTTGCAAGACACTTTCGATGCCCTGCCGCGTGTGTGTGTTCGGCACATCACTTTCGCTTTTTGTTTCGCTGGCATTTTAGTTTTAATCAAAGCCACTAAATTGGATCTATTAAGTCACTTGAGATAAGTCCGAGGGGACGACTTAAGTGCCGCGTGGAGAGGCCACTCAACGCACAAATTGTCATATGTTGACGTTGAGATATCAGTAAAAGAGCCGGGCTCTTCTCTCAGGTGATCTCCATAAAAATCTGGGACATCTGACATGGGCAAACAAACAAGTGTGCTGACTTTTCATATCTTGCTGTTGTCCGGGCTTGTCTTTATAGATACTATATAGCAGTATTGAGCAATTAAAAAGGATTCCCTTGATCTCGCTAAATGGAAGGTGTGATTATATGTTTTAATAAATATAGACTCAGTGAGTCACTTGGGAAAGTTTTCTTAAGATTTGGGGACTTATGTATGTATATGTTATGACCATTTCTAGATTAATATTATCTTTTCCCTTACGAACTTACCTAATGGAGCTTGTTATTCTTGACCCTTAAACCCTTAAATACTATTAAACTATTACCTTTCACTATTTCGTCTTTAAAAAGGCATTATATAGTGAGATTATCGCCATCACATCGCAGGTAATTTATTAAATAAGGCATTTAGTAACATATTTCCGTTTTATAATCAATAAATGCAGAATAATCAATTATTATGTGAATCTTCGCATTACTGGGGGTTATCTCATTAGTTTTCTAGTAAACCTGCCTTAATATTAACACTACTACAAAGCCCAAGGTCCGCTTTAAAAAATGTCAGTGAATACTGGAATAAGTTGGTTTTTGATAAGACTTGCAATCACGGCAGCTGCTAGGTCTACAAACTAAAAAAACTATAAAATACTTATTAGGACTCTTTTTTTTAGAGTGAGTATGACTTGCGCGGAGCAAAGATTGATAACCGGCATTTAAGTCAGTGGAAATGTTGATAAGGAGCTGGGATTAATAGCTTTGTGGTCAGAACTGATGATTGTTCTTTTCTAATTCCCTCGATCCAGACGGCAAATGGCAACCTCGACGTGGATGTGACAGTGGATGCGAATGCGATTGTGATTGCTAGAGCAGATTATGCAACTGCGGCCAGACTTTGGAGAGATTGAGAGGGGCCCGCAGATAGACGGTTTAATTATCAGTGCCAGATTATTATCACCGCAGCGGCGATGCAGCGGTGACGGTTGCGGAGAGCACCGGTTGCAGAATGCATTTAGTTACCTGACTATTTCAAAAACATCCGAGCCGCCGACGAGCAGCGAGCAGGAGCTCTCGTCCCAGCCGAAATATCCGGAGTGATAATTGCTAATAATTAGAGGGAATTAACAGGGGAGATCCCGACATTAGAAAAAAAGAAAAACCAGCAGTAAAAAACCTTAAAATGTTACCCACGGACAAGGGCAGCTCTTTGGGCCCCAGGCCGCAGAAGTCTCATTGCTCATCAGATCAGCAGCTCCTGCAGCACCACCATCCACAGGCGCAGCCAGTTCGCCTACAGGCGCCCATCCACCTGTCCACACATGCACACTCACCTGCCTGCGAGAAACGCTTGGAGGCGGAGACTCCTCGACGGGATCTCCATGAACTCCTGCTCGAACTGCTGGACATGTTGTTATCCTGCCTGGTGGTGGCTCCCTGTGTGATAGCCTATTGGCGGGGAACCTGGGAACTGATGTTCGTCTACCTGTTCCCCGACAGCTTACCCTTGTCGGCAATGGCCAGCTTTTTGATTGGCGGTCTGGGTCACTTCATCTTCACCGTCACGCAGAACTTCTTTAAGGAGCACATCCATCCGGACAGGAGGCGACTTACCTACTATTTCGTGTCACGGCTTTACACGGCCATTTTTGGGATTGTCTGTGTGAATATGTGGCGAGGAGCCTGGTTGCTATGCGACTGGCTGACTAGTGTCGACTCCCTGATCATTGTCTCGGTGGTCACGGGAATCGCACTCATCTTTCTGATGGCCACAAGGACACTGAGGAACCTGGGAGCAGCACCCTACACCGTGAGCATGGACCACAAGAGCGACTACTTCGAGGTGGACACCATGTTCAAAATACCCGTAAGTAATAATGTTTTTTGATAAATCTTTTAGTCTTTCATTTTGTTTTATATTTTTCTAACTTTCCCAGGGTTTTCATCAACCTGGCCTGTATGTCTTGGACACACTCTTCTCGGTCTTTGTGATTGGCAGTTTGGTGGTCATCGCGTGGCGTGGTGTCTGGGGAATCTTCGACATACTCCTCTTTCCGATGGACAGAGCCAAGTCAGCTTGGGGTTCGCTGGTAATAATCTTTGGGAGTCCCTTTTGTTTTCCAGTACTTATATTTTTCCCTTACTTAATAGCTCATTGGATATCTGACAGTTTTTGTGACCTTCCTTATTCATCCTTTGATGAGGTACATCTGTCGCCGGATAAGCGGAATCCTTAAGCTAATCATATGCGACATTTACTATCTGATGACCTTCTTTGGAGCTGTGAATGCCTGGCGAGGAATTTGGAATTTACTAGATGTGTACCTATATCCAGGTAAGAAAGTTATCTTTTAAGGTTTTCTTCTATGTATGATCCTCCTTTAAGCCCTTTTATATTAAACTATTCAATTAATAAACAAAATGCAATCCTCTACCCCCCAGATAACAAATTACTGAGCTTCTGGCTGACTCATCTTGTTCCTTTCCTGCTCCTCGCTGCTCTCAAGTGCTCGAACTCCATACTGGTACGCGGGGTTTTCATTGATGCAGAGGGCGTGGGAGCCGATAGCGTCGATATACCCATCAACTATGTCCGGCTGCACTTCCTACGCGAACGCAGGAAGAAGGTTGGCCTTCAAAAAACACCGCAATCGCAGCCACCGCCGCCACATTACTACCTAAAGCCAGAGCACGCTGCACTCGGTCGGAATGCGGAGAAGGACAAGGAGGCCCAGAGCAGTCTTATCGAGAAGCCCCTTTCCGCTGTGCAGATTGTTTAGGAATGTCGATTGCCTGGCCTATTGTTACATTTAACGTTAATATCGTTTCTATGTCTAGATGTTAAACTAGTTTTAAACGCCTAAGCTTAAGCCTACCGAGCTTACTTAAGAGTCAGTTTTTTAGTTATAACCCCTAGTTATAGTCTCGATCCAAATCCAAAACCCTAATCCCAAGTTGTACAGCATTTTATGGATCGTCATATTTACACCATAGGTATATTTTTGCTTTTTCCACAGCAGGTTTGAGTTGCAAATTTAATCCTGGTGACGAAGGCACCTTCCCTCACCCACTCACACACTAGCTAAGTGATAACGATCTAACTACGAGTATAAACATTGTACATTGGTATTTTCATATATCGCAAATAAATAAATAAATAAATTTGTAAATACTACCATATATAACCGAACACAAGAATATAAATTTTATATTTTAAATAATATTTTTTCATAATAATAATCATCAGCTTACTTTAACATAATTCTTGATACTTGATCTTTATGCAGGACAAATACCCACACAAGGTGAATCTCTTTCTAAAGACAAGCATTGAAAAATTAAATTTCCCTTTCATCGAGAAAAAAATAACAAATAAAATCTATTTGCCGTCTGGTCTTATAAAAGTCTCACGGCCCATCCCATGCGCCTGCTATGAACTTGTCATTCCACACATTTCTAAAGGTAGCTGCATTATATAGAAAGCGAAATGAAAATGCTCCCAGAAACAAAGTCTCTGCATTGTTTTGGGTCATTACATTTGCTTAGGGTAAAGAAAATGAACAATAGGATTGCTAAATTGAGCAATCGTACGATTTTGATGATTTTTAGAGAGATAATAGTTTTTTTAGGGAATATCTTGGACTTGGCTCAGGAGGCAACAAATTTTAGCAGAGGTATAAAAATATTATAATTCTCTATGTTTTTGGATCGATGTAACACTCAAAACAAAAATAATTGTATCACTTTTGTTAGTATAGACATTAAAATTTATTAATATATTTTGGATATCTTGTTAAATAATTTTCTTCTCCAGAAAGTAATATTTTCATCTACTTTATCATTCTCCTAAAAATCCCATGTAGCGCACCCAACCGGCAGATATTGACCACAAACTCAGCTGTCTGTGACCGTCTCAAAAGATTCCCATCTCGTCTTCTTATTTTCTTTTTCTAAAATAAATTAAGAAAAATACAAAAAAAAAAAAAAAACATATAGAAAGAGGCAGAATGCAACGGGCAGCTAAAATAAATACGCAAATACAAATCGAAAACGCAAAATAGAAAGCAATTGATATGCTACTTGGCATTTTAGTTTTAAATTTGCGACGGTTTGCTGAAAATCAACTTAACGATCGCGGCGGAACAAAACGCTCTGAATAAATTAAATATTTTCAAAAATTATATATTTACAAAACGACTCCAATTTTGCAGAATTTTAATCAATTATTAGCAACTATTTAAAGAACGGTTGAGGTGATAAAAAACAGCATTCTATACCATCGAGCTGTTGCTAAATTTACATAACCAAAAGTGCAAAAAAGTGAAAAGTTCGAAATCGATCGAAATGGGCATTCCGGACATCCGACTGTTGGTGACGGTGGACTTTGAGGTCTATGGACATGTACAAGGTGTGGTTTGGTGGAAAATCAGGAAAAGGAACTCATGGCTAAAAATCTTTTACTTTGATGGCTAAAAATAAACTCTCAGTAGCTGGTTACTTTGGGGGCCCCACTTGTCCTTGGCTTTGTTTCACGCCCCATTCCACATTCACTAGACTATATAAAATATATACCTCTAATATATCAACCGGCAGGGCTGAATCTCACCAAAGACACCCGCGACCGATGCACCAAGGCAGGAATTACTGGCTGGGTGAAGAACAGCAAACAGGGCACCATCGTCGGCAAAATGCAAGGTCCCAAAGAGGAGGTGGACAAGATGTGGGTGATGCAGTTCAGTTTAAAGCTCCCAAAATAATATATTTGAAATGTATTTAACACACAGGATCACCTGGCTGTCCAGCGAGGGCTCTCCCGGTTGTCAAATCGATCGATGTGAGCTGAGGAACCAGGGCAATCTCAGCCGACTGGACTATAAGGACTTCGCCATTAGGTTTTAGCTTTGTTTCCGCCTTATATTTGGTATGCGGAAATAAGGTTTTGTGTGTTTGTTTTGTGCATTACATCAATAAGTTTGTAAATACAAGTAAATAATAAAGAAATTAATAATAATTTGATCGTAAACTTGATTTAACTTTTAAGAGTATTTTGCGGAAGTTTTTAATTTAATATTAAGTTAAAGATGAGTTTTGGAATTCGTTTCAAAAATATTGGTTTATAAAATTTTGAATTTATATTCAAGAAATTTTAAAATCATTGTCTCTACGTTTTCATTAAGTGAAATGTTTTCTCAGTTTTCAGATACAGATTTTTTAACTATCTTTAACACAGGTTCAATAATCACGACGAATCATAATTCGCAAACTCTTTATGCAAGTTTTTGAATATATTGATTAACTTCCATTTCATCAACTCCTGGAAACAGTACACCATACATTCAAATTAAAACTTCTTCGTGCACATACGTAGACTGAAATCTATTTAGTTTTCAATACAGAGGCGTAACACTTTCTCTAGAACATCTTTTGACTTAGACTACATATGGTTTGGGGTATATAATAGCCTAGCAGGACTGGAAACGACCGGCAGCCTTCATGCGCTCAAAGGACTTGTTAGCATCGTACTTCCTACAAGGGGATAAAACAGATTGTTTAGTTGTCATCATGAATATAAATATATAAATAATATTTACGAGTAGAAGTCGGCATAGGCGGCCTTCTTGGGATCGTTGACCAGGATTTTGTAGGCGACGGTAACCAGAGCGGTCAGACCTAGGGAAATGGCCAGATTACGCTTGATGGTGGCGTTGTGGAGACCACGCAGCACGGGTCCGGCGGAGGAGGTTGCTGGAGTGTTGGCCATGTCGCTATAAGGACAAAATTAAAAAAAAATCAATTATATCGCTCGGTAGTTACGTAAGGCCCTCAAAGGCAGTTGCCAGAAAACTCTTAAAAACTATCTGCGCCTGTCAGCAACTAAATAAGTTCTGAAGGGCATTAAGTTTAATATTTAATTACTTTGTTTTAATCAGAAAACCCTTTGTAAGCAATATTAAAAACCAAAAACCTTGTTATGTACTCACATTTGCAGAGCAGAATTATTCACAGATAGAGATGGAACAAAAATCGAATTCGATATTATGTTTCAAGAACGGTGGCAACATTGTGTGTTCCCATTTTCTATCGATTATCACTTTATTACAACAAATTTATCCAATTTAATTTTTATATATAAATTTATTTAAACATCTCAAAGTCACGGAAATTTCACAGGCCTAAAAATGTTAATCAAAATATGGAAACAAAGAATTTATACATAGACTAGATTTATTACAAAAGTTATAAAAATATGGGTGGTGTAGGACAAATTATTAACGTTGAAATTTGTATCTCATTTAGATTAAAAATTTAGATATTTCAAAATTTTTATGATTAATGTATATCTGACAACTCTACTACAGCATAATTTCCAATGCTGGTTGGTTTGCAGCCCTGAAGCACAGAAAAGTACCGGAAAATTTAGGTAATTTCAACCCGCAAACATCTGGCAACACCGGCTGGAAAATAAAAATGGCTACCACTGTGTGCTTGTTATTGTTCGTGGAATTTTAATAATTACGAAGTTTTTTGTACAAAATAAACAGGATAAAAGCATTGCTTCAGCGCCAAATAAGAGCTGAAAAGCCAGCGTGAATATTTCGGCATCGTTCAGTGTGTTTATCGAATGTCCGCACGCAATCGAACCGTGTGAAATTAAGCCCACGAAAAACGGCTGCCCGAATGCGTGAAAATTTTCGAGACCCGCTAAAAAGGCATTATTATTCAGCTACCGAATGTGAAATGGAAAACAGTGGGCAGTCATATATCTTTAATTTAACCTGAACAATAATTAAAAGGCGGGCAGGCTAGATTTCCATCAGGAAAAGCGCTTAAAAAGTGACGCAGGAAAATCCGTATCCGCGCCCCGCACGTGTGTGTGTGAGTGTGTTGCAGTGCGTGTGTGTTGGTGAGGCTACTACTAAAAAAAAGAAGTAAAAAGCAAAAAAGAGAGAAAAAAAATAAAGTGGAAAATGCCCAAAAACAAAGTCGCAGAGGTTAAAAACTAGTGCAAAACAACGAAAGACAATAAATCGAAACCATCGAGTGTGTGTTAGGCCTAAAACGAAATTGCCTCAATTCCAATTCCAATCCAAAGGACGCCACGGCGGTCAATCTAAAGCTAAATGCGAGAATTGAGCAGCGTTCTAACAATTAAACCTACGACGCGTGCGATTGTCGTGTGATGATATGCCACTTAAACAGGTGAGTTTGGTCGTGTTTCGCTTTTTAAGCGCAACAAAACAGCTGATTTGCGATTATTGCACTTCAACTGGCGTTTTCCTGCATTATTTTTGTTTTTGCACTTGCGTCACCCACGCATAAAAGCACGGATAAAAACAAAAACAATAAGAGCTGATTTGGTGGGAACTAATTTCTTGCTCTCAAGTGTTCACAATTTCTCATTCCCCCTTTCTTTTTTTTCCTTTTGGTTTCCCCTTTTTTGATTTTATTAATCAGCCCGCCCCCTTTTTACCCCCCGCCTTAATTCCAAGCAAGTATTTTGGTTACCTTTTCCCTCTGCCACACACACTTGCCCACCCATCACACACGCACACACACCAACACACGCGCACCCTTCCAAGAGGCCAAGAAGAAAAATGGCGACGACTTCGGGGTATCGATAACATCCCGCAATGAGAGAAAAGGAAAACGCACGCACGCATGTGAAAATGCAACCTGTGGGCAGCTGCCCCGCCCCCCTTTTTCTACCCACAGCGCGTGGAAAATGCAGTCAGCTGAAAAGCCTTTTCGGTTACTTAATGCAAGCATTTTATCTTAAGGCCTGTTGCCGAAACAAATTGTTGTTGGAATACCCAATGAGTACCCTATTGACATCTCGTTCTAACAGTGGAAACAAAACGGGAAAAAGAAATAAAAAATTCAAAATAAACTCTTTTAATATTTAAATTTTAATTAAATAAATTGTAAGAAAGTATTGGATTTCAATATACATTTGTCTAATGTTAAATTGGTAATGTTGTTTTCCCATAAATTATGGTTTTCTTGTGTGCGTTTGTGTGTGTTTTATAAACCAGGGCTACAGCCCTTTAACCGATAGTTATCGATAACCGATAGTGCTCATCGCCAACAATTTCACTGTCTCTTCTTCTTGATCTTCCTATACGGCTCCTTAAATGTTAATTAAATGCTGTGAATTTGCAAAATGTCTCACATTTGTGACCCCTTGCAGCAGCTTGAACCGTCACTGGTGCGGATATTGGTCTCGCTCCCCTGGGATGCAGCACAACGGCTGCGCCAGCTGGCCAACGATGGAAATCCCGAGCTGCGCGCCCTCAACATTCAGTCCGTGCAATTTGAGGGCGATTCTGTGATAACTTTGAAAGTTGGTGGACAAGATATTAAGATAACCAAGGGTAAGTTCTGTTAGGTAATGCCTAGTAAGAATCCAAAGTAATCCCACAAATTCTACCGTCAGATAATGTAAACGAGACACTTGAGGCGGCTGGCTCGCTTTCCGGCAACAAAAGTGGTCTGTTGGCCACGGGATACGATGGCCCCAGTACAAGCAAGGCGGCCTCCGCCTTTATGCAACAACAGCAGCAACAGAGGATCCTGCAACAGCCACAGAACGATGCAATCTCACTTCAACAAAGAAGAGCGGCGGCGGCGGGTCTGGGACTCCAGAAGATGCCCCTTCAAACGCAGCAGCAGCAACAACAACAACAGCAGGTGGCCGTGACTCCCGCCGTATTTAAATCACCTAATACTGTATGCCCCATGGAGGGCAAGGTCCCGCTGTTGCTACCCTCACCCTCTGCCACGCGGGACTTCCCCTTCGAGAGCATGCGGCAAGCGAGAGTGCTGCAAGGTCGAGAGGCGGGCGGCCTTGGTCCACCCCTGCCGCCACCTCCTCCGCCAAATGTAACCCTCAAGGTGCTGAAGACGCAACCGCAACAGGCATCTCAAAATGGCGAGCTTACACCAACAACGCCAACTTCAGCAACTCCAACGACGCCCGGCAGCAAATCTCAGTTCATTCAGCCACCACCGCCGCCATATCCGGGTTTGGGAGCTGCCACGACCAGCAGCGTCAGTTCACCCATTGCCATAGCGGGCGCTAGTGCCAAGCCAGCCATTGTGACGGCACCCAGCCAGCTGAACCATCCGCTTGGACATCCGCCGTTGCCTACAGCCACGTCAACAGGTAGCAACAACATTGCCATATCGTCGCCGCTGCTGGTGAATTTGTTGCAGAACGACGGCAATGCCATGTCGAATCCGAACCAGCTCAAGTCCCCCCAACAGCAGCAATCGCCGCTGATTGGAATGAGTCCCAGTGGAGCGCAAATGATGAACTCTCCGATGCGATCCTCAGGTCCGGCGACACCCAGCGATTTTCTCATGGGTGACGTGCTGAGTCCAGTGGTGCCTTCCTCACCCACAACGCCACAGGCAGCGGCTCCTCCTGGCCCATCCCCCGTGGTGATGCGAAGTCTGCAGCAGCAACAGCAGGCCATGCTTAGTCCAAGTGGCAATGGAAATCATATGTATGCCCAGCAGCAACAACAGCAGGTTCAACAGCATCAACAACAACAGCAGGTTCAACAGCAACAACAACAACAGCAGCAACAAGGACCACCACCACATCGCTTTCAACAGCAATATCAGCAAATGTCGCCGCAGGCCCTGGCAATGCGGCAGCAGCAACTTCAACGACAACAGCAGATGCGGTTCATGCAACCGCAACAGCAGTTACAGGGTCAGCAGCAACAACAACAGCAACAGTTTCAAAATGCGCCTGGTAAGCGTTCTTATTTGCCCTTTAGACCTGATGCCCTAACATTATCATTAAAAAGATGAATACATTTTTGGGTTATATTTATCCTAATATAATTGATATCTTTTATAACTCATATGGGCATCAAAGTCTTGAAGGTTTCTGTAAATTCTCCTGAATTATTAACTAAACTTTATTATTTAACAGATTGCTTTAATAACATGGGCATGAACCCCATGCAACAGCAACAGATAAGACATCAATTGAGACCCAGCGGAGTGCCACTGGCTCCTCCGCCACCTCATCCGCAGCAGCAGCAACAACAACAGCAACAACAGCGCCTTATGAGCCTATCCATGCCGCAAGCGTCGCCCCAACAGCAATTCATGAGCGGAGCCTCACCCCTGGGACCCGCACTCTCACCCGCCTCCAGCCACCATTCAATGCACAGCCCGCTAATGGCCAATCATCAGGCGCAACAGCAACCGCAAATGGTGTCGCCAGCCTCTACACCAGGATCTGCTCCCAGCGAAATGGCGGGACAGCATATGCCAGCCACTCACCATGTACCTGCAGCACCGCCACCAGATTACAATCAGGCGGCAGCCAACTCCCGCTGGCCACTTGCCGGAATCAATAAGCCGATGGACTCGGCCACCAAGAGCAGTTTCCAGGAGTTTACGCGTTACCAAATGCAGTACAATCTCCAGCAACAGCAGCAGCAAGTTAACCTGCCGGGACAGCCCCAACAGCAGCAGCAGCCTCAGCAGCAACAACAGTTGCCGCCTCCTGCGATGCCGACACAGCAACAAGGCCAGGGCCAGCAACCTCAAGTTGCGGGTCAGACTCAAGGTCAAGTGGACTCCCTGATGTCGCTTTCCGTGCTGGATGCTCTCACCACAAACGACTTGGACGCTCTGCTGCCAACTTTCAATTGTGATCTAGACTCGACGCTCAGTTTGGAAGACAAAAACGAGCTCGAATCGCTGTTGCAGGATGCCAAGGATCTAGATTTGGATCTGATCGAAGACAATCTAACGGCAGTGGACATGGATGCACTCAACACTTTGCAAGAGGCGCCACTGGATCAGCAGCAACAAAATCCAGCGATGATACAGCCCCAACAGCAGAATTCTCAAATTCTGCAAATGCCTTACCAGCAACAACAGCAGCAACAGCAACAACAGCAGCAGCTGCAGCAACAAATGATGATGCAACAACAGCAGAGGCAGCAACAACAGTTGAGACAGCAGCAGGTGCAGCGACAAATGCAACAGCATCAACAGCAGCTACAGATGGTGCAACGTCAACAACAGCAGCAGCCACAATTACAAGTTCAGCAAAGACCGCCTCAAAAGCAATTTATCATTAATCCTCACACTGGGGACATGGAACCAATGGCCAGCGACGATAGCGAAACGGAGGCTGAGGAAGAAACTGCACAGCCACAGTTCCGCAACAGCAACATGTCCAGTGGATTAAGCAGCTTTAATTTCAATCCGGCCAACGACATGCTTTTGCCCAACAATCTGTTTTCCGAGGAGGACTCAAATTCGGCGCAACAACATCCAATGGCAATAAGTAGTGATCAGGAGAGATCGCGAGACTCCCTGGCATCTAATAAATCAGCCTCCAGTAGGGCTAGGAAAACACCAGTCTCGAAAGCGAACCACACCAATATAGGTGCGGGTGACAATTCGCCTCGATCTAGCAATAGTTCTCCTTTGATTGGCCTAAATTCGCCGCAGTCCGTGACAGTTAATGCAGGTGGAGCGCCCAGTAAGAAGGCCAAGCCAAATCTTCTACGCGGAAAGCTGCAACAAGGAGTCAAGGAGCGCAAGGCCAAGGATCCTACGGCCACGCCAAAACCGAAGCGCGAAAGAGCGAAGGGCAATGCAAAGACTAAGGCGGCCGAGGAGAAGATAAAGCTAAGACTAAAACTAGACAAGGTTGAGACTACGCCGGCATCGGGAGCCGGCTACGAAGGACAGATAATAATTAACCAACAACAACAGCCGCAGCAGCAGACCATTGTGGTCAACAATCACATGCAACAGTTGCCCATGCAGACGCAGCTTTTAACGTTGCCAACACAGCAGCAACAACAATTGCAGCAACCTCAAATGCAGCTAACCCAACAACAAACTCCGCAGCAGCAGCAACAACCTTCTCAGCTTCAGGCACAGCAACAGCAGCAGCAGCAACTCCAACAGCAACAACATCATCCAGTTTACAGTAACTTTCAGCAACAGCAGCAGCCGCAACAACAGGCTGTCCCGGGTCCAAATGAACCGCGTGTTCCTCCCCTGCAGATCCGTTTGCGCGGGAAAAATCATGTGGTGGTCAAGAACACTCGAAAAGATCGAAAGAAGGTGCAAAACCAGGAGGCTATCATTGATGACCGTCAACTAAAGCGCAGCTTCAGCGATCAACCTCCGCAGCAACTGCTCATGGACGCGGTAACGGACAGCAAGCAAACTAAACTCACACCACCACCCCATGTCAACGGATTGCCCATACTGATACAGAAGACGACGGCGACAGTGGCAACGCCACAATTGCCTCAACAACTGCAAGCCGGTGGAGCTACCACCACCAAGACAACTACCATTGTGGCTGGAAAGAATGGTTTAACGATTAGTGCCATTGTAGAGGCGCACAAGGCTCAGGCCCAGGCGCAGGCCCAATCCCTCAGTGATCCTCAGCTAATTGTGGGTTCTACAAACACGGGAACAACGCCAACGACTACCACCCTGCAGCAGCAGCAGTTAAGCAAGATAGCCACATCGTTGCCCAGCAGTATCACCCTGAGTGCCATTAATAGCAACAATAACAACAATAATGTGAATAGCGGCAATAACAACAATCGGCTGTTGACGATGAAGAATCCGATAAAGACTGCCGCCACCATTACACCCATTGTGGGTGGCAAGCCGATGACAAAAAACCATAAGCCGCCGCCATACATCACAGCCGTGCAACAGCTGCAATTGCAGAAACAACAACAGCAGCAGCAACAACAGCAGCAACAGCAGCAGCAACAACAGCAGCAGCAACAGCAGCGACAACTGGCGGCGGCCGTAACCATGTTGCCTAGTGCGACGACCCTGAAGCGTGTGGAGATAACAAAGGTCACACCACAGGTCACGGCAGAGCAGGCTCCTAGCATCATCCCAACCCCAGTAGCAGTAGCAGCAGCAGCCACAGCAACACTAGCGACATCGTCGACGCCCACTACGCAAACAACTCAGCTGATCTGTGATAGAAAGTTGCCAGTGGCCATTCCACCCATGACTACAGTCAACAATGTGGTGGTAGCCACCGTGAACTCCTCTTCCGCCACCTTGTCGACCTTATCCTCCGTATCCACAGCCTCCTCTGCATCTATTATCACCACCTCTACCTCTACCTCATCGCCGGCGGCGTTGCCCAGCACGCTGCGTAACTCACCCGCCAGCAATGGAAGCGGGACACCGGGTCACGGGAATAACGGTGGTGGCGAGGACAGCGGCATTGAGTCCATGGATGCGCTCTCCGAAAAGAGCCCTCATCAACTCTCCTCCAGCAGCCCAATCCAGGTGAGCAAGGCGGCGGTGTCGGTTGTGCAGCAGCAGCAACAGCAGACGAACACAATGACGACAACAACTGCCACATCGGCGGCACCGTTAGTGATTGTTCCCAGCTCAACGCCGGTAGGGGCGACAGCAGTTGGAGCGCCACCTCTAATCGTTGCCAGTTCCCTGCAACAGCAGCAGAAACAGCAGGCAGACGACGAGATTGAAAAGGCTTTGGCTAAGATGGAGGGTGACTTTGCTGAGGATATCGAAGATATTGTTTCCTCAATGATTAAGGGGACAAACGAATGTGCCAGTGTTTCAAGTGGTGATTTCTTAAACAGCCTAGAGAACTCGCTGCCAGCGGCAACAGTTGCAACTGTTGTGGCGACAGCAACCACAAACACAAGCAGCATAGGTAGCGTCAAGTTGAATGGCGAACACCATATACTCGAACACGATGATCTCATCAAGAAACTCACAGAGAGCAAGCAACCAATGGTCAAGGTGAAGTTGGAGGAGATGCCACCGCTGCTCACAATTAAAAAGGAGCCAGCGATCAAGCCGGTGGTTAGCAGTCTTAAAGTGGAAGCCAAAGTGGAGGTAAAAGCGGAGCCGAAAGCCGAGCCCAAATCGGAGGAGAAGGTATCGGAGAAGCCCCAGAGCGAGGGCAGTTCAGTTTCCCTGCAGCCCATTTCGATTGAGATACCTGTTCAAGTGGATGGTGAGACACCGAGGATAAGAACGCGAGCCAGCAGTCGCCTGGAGAGTCCACTGGATGCGCCGAAAGCGAGTCCTGATCCTACAACAGTCACTGGAGCAGCAACCACAACGCCAACAGCAACAAATACGCCTAGCACCGCCAAGAGCCTATCCCGCGCCTCTTCTACCGCCAGTCCTCGAGTCGTGACACCCACACCCAATCACAATAATAACAACAAGCGGCGGCGACAGGAGTCCGAGTGCGGCAGCAGTAATGATGGCACTGATTTGGCCGAGAACAGCATTAAGCGTCCTCGAGTGAGCACCGGTAATGGAAGTGCAACTAACGCCTCAAGTAACAATGCAGCAGAAGCTGTTGCTGATCATAATGCTAGTGCAGGATTGCCGAAGAAGATTGAAATTGAATCCTCTGATTCGGATGAGCCCCTGATCGAGGTAGCTGGGAAAGTGCGAAATTCTAAGCAGGCACAGGTAGAAGCCGCTGATGCGGCCGCATCAGCAGCAGCGGAAAAGCACGTGACACGTCGAAATGCACAGCAGCTACAACCACCACAGAACAGTAAGTGGACTTTGATCACTGAGAGCTATTTTGTTGTATCATGATTTGGCAACGAGCTAGGTTATCATTTAGCATAATGCAAGAGGGCACAAAATGTGTGTTCAATTTAAACCTTAAAATAATAGTTGAATTATTTTGCAAGTCATCGATTTTCTTATCATTAATGGTCTTATTCTCTTAACAGAAGCGACCGGCAATCATGCTCAGTCTGCCACTTCTCCACTTGGAACACCTAGGACAGGGAAAGCTCAAGCGCCAATCGGAAACACGACCACCGCCAGCAGCAATCACAACAGCGGGGCCACCAACAATTCCAGCGTTGTGTCGACCTCAATAACTACCACAACAATGCCGGGCGGAGCTGTAGTGAACACTACAAGTCAAACCAACAGTAGCACAAGTGTGGTTCATGCAACGCGAGGAGCAACCGCTGCAGCAGCCAGCACAACCAATAATAATGTCAACTCTGCTAGCTCGCCAACGGACGAAAAAATTGGCACAAGAAGGAGCGTGCGGGCCAGTGCGGCAGCTAACAAAATCATCTACAGTCGCAGCAATGCAGCTGCAGCAGCCGCTGCCGCGGCAGAGGCAAAGGGGACACCCGGCAAGGCGGCAGCAGCAGTTGGTGGCAACAATGCCAGCAGTGTTGAGAGTGTCGCTGAAGCCAGACGAAAGACCCGCAGTGCAGGTGAGAATTGATTCTGGTTATTAGCCATTGGACTGTTTGCAGTAGAAATATCTTCTAATGACAATAAATTTTTAGTCATTGGCGAGTCCATGTTGACCGAGGGACGCCGGAGAAGAACGTCGCGTGACTACAAGTGACCAGAGTTTTGCGCCTTGGCTAAAGGCTTGAACCATCCGAGCGATGCGCACGAAGACGATCTGTTGGAGCTATTCGAAGACTTTGAGGAGCAACAGCAGCCGCATCAGCAGCAGCAGCAGCAACAACTGGATATCAGTAGCAGCAGCTTTCCTTTAGCCCAGGCGCAGGACGAGGACGGTGATGAGACGGCCGATTATGAGAATTTGGCGCTAGCAGCCGGCGGGTACATGGAGGAGGCCGATCATTTGCTGTCCTACCACAGCAGCAGCAGTGCCGCAGATGTGGAGGTGGATGAGGTGTTAATGCCTGAGCTGGCAAACGCCACGGCCCTGGACTGTGCCAATTTTGTCGACTACGATGAGTTCAACTTATGTCTGAACAACATTCTCAGCGAGGAGGACAACAGCGGCAGTGGTGGAAGCGGTGGCATGACAACCAAACACCAGCAGACATGGCGCGATGCCGGCGACGTACTCAACATCGTCCAGCTTAACAACGATTTGGGATTAAGTTTCCAGGAGTTCGCCAGTGAAACGACTACGGCGGATGAGCAGCGCTCCGCCAGCAGCAGTTCGCCGCAGCTGGCGTAGTGAAGTCGGTTCACGGACGGCTACTTGTATATAACACACGCACTGATACCGAACGCTTTCGTTTGTAGTTCTTAGGCCTAGTTTCCATTGAGGATTTTGTATAGTTAGTGGTAACCACAAGTTGCAATAATGTTGCGTCTCATAGCGAGCAACATCACACCCAGATACACTTAGATACACACCCACACACACACACACCGCAGACGGACAATTGCAAGCGCCAATAACCGCCTTTGTTTACACCTTGTTTTCTGTTCCCCAGTCCGAGTTTATCCGCCGCCAGATCTTCGAATCTGGCATTGCTATTAATCCCCAAATATCCACCCATTGGAAATGATTTGCTAGTCAAGAGAAACAGGCAATTTATTGTATAGCTCAGAAGATGAAATTTGAACAAATTAGTTGAGTAACACGTATTTGAGAAGCTCCCATAAACTCTAACGTAGAATAGTTGGCTAAAACTGAAGAAACCATCTCCAAGCATCCCTCACGCTAACCCCCACTCTCACGCATGCATAGTTTAATTTGAGAAATTCGTATTTCCATGGACCGCTCTGTAAATATTTTTGATTCTTCACGATGCAACATATGAACACATTTCTAGTTTTAGGTTGTCTTACTTTTACGCGCTGCGCCCAGTCGAAAGTCTATAAGAAGCCGATCCGTTGGATCGAGCAGATCAGAGCAGACCGCACGTTATCTTTAGGTTTTACATATATATATATATTTTTTGTAACCTTTAAACATATGAATACAGTACATACAGATTTAGCGTTTTAGTTTCCGTAAGCTTGCGTTGTTTCAAAAAAATTTGTTTTTTAGTTTTAAATGCTCTAGCCTAAGGACACTAATCTTAACGCGAATTCTTTACCAACAATATATGCACATGGAAACCTATGCAATAAGTTAGTCAAAACTGTAAAAAGGCCAAGCACCACAAAAAATGAAAACACACAAAAACCTTTAAAAAAAAAAGAATAAGAAAGAAATATACAAAAATCAGAAGGAAAAAATATAAGGAGAAAGGTAGTGAAGAAGAATATTGAAAATCAGTCGCCTAGTATATGTCGTTTTGCAAAGTGAAAAAGAACTATATAATGTTATATATTTTGCATATGTAAAACACAGAAACAAAAAAGGGATATCGTGAAAAACAAACCACACAAACAAACAAACAAAAATAAAAGTTGTATTGTATATAAGGCAGGCTCTATTTTTGCTAAATGTTATTTGAACAAATAGGGAAAAACAAAAAAGAGTAAAGTAATTGAAAAGCAAAGCAAAGGCAAAGCGCTAGACAAAACCAGAAAAGAAAAAACACAAAACAACATTATAAATTGTTCAATATTATTATTACCTTATATATATATTGTATGATTGCTACATAAACATAATTCTTTTGATACTTTGTACATGTTTACTTTAAACCAAGGCAAAAACAAAACATAAGCGTATGTAAAAGCCCAAACCCCCTAGCATAACTTGCATATATTCATATAGAACCGCTAAACTAAACGTATATAGAACCTGGAATCCATAATTGCATACCCATACCAGCCACGGCTTCTAAAAGTGAAGCATATTTAGTAAACCTTGTTTAAACACTTCGGACAGCCACCACAACCAACTGCAATAAGCCCGAATAAGCACAGTAAAACAGTAAAAGCCGAAAACTGAAAACCGAAAAAAAAACACGTTAATGGAAATGTTGTAAAAAAAAACGTATAAATAATTTATATACCGCTTCGTAAACAAAACAGGCAACAAACAACAACACACATAAATAAATAAAAAATATATTTAAATATTTAATACAAAACCACACAAGATGAACAACAACAACAAAAAACGAAAGTGTCTTAAAACGTAGTATTAGAAGTTTATTATTAATTTGTTTGTACTTTAAAGTAAAATATTTATAGAAAAAGAAAAAATACAAAGATTTAATATACACAAAAAATAAAAACACAACTTTTTCTTTTATAATTCTAAAGAAATTAATGGGAAATATTTTTAGTTTTCTATCAATTTGACTCTCAAAATGTCTCACAAAAATTTTTCTTAATTTGGAAAACCTCTTTTGATGTTCACATTAAAACTCCCAGAAGGTCCTATGGTTTTTCCCTGTGGCCAGCAGCAAACTACATTCCCACAGTCCGAGAATGTCGCCCACTAAATAAGCTCTCCCTGCGCAGGCGCCTGGTAATGGACTGTCGGCTTCCTAGGAGAGAGAAGAGGAGAGCTGAGCTGGGTCCGGAACAGCAGGGACCCAGCAGCTGCGGCCATCCGCCGACTGGCAGTTGAGAGCGAGTGGCCGCCGTGAGCAGGACGGCAGAAGCGGAGCAGGCAGCAGGATTCCCCGGAGCCACAAGCAACACGTAACAGAGCGGCCCCAGGTGAAGGAGGGGGGCAGCCGTAGGCTTTCAGTATACACAGGAAGCTCCATCAAAAAAATAAGGATATATATTAAAAACGCCTGCCGCGCTTCAAAGTAAGTTTAAATAGTTTAAATGGATAGTTAAAGGTGGAACTATCTGTTAGGAAATTAAACTTCGCGGAAGCTATCCTTTTGTAATCCCTATATGGAAGCCATATCATCCTAGCCATAGAATCCATATCCTATATATGGCTTAGAAAAGTACTACTTGACGAACGCACAGATGTGCTAGCTACCAGATAGTTTGGCTTTAACTGCCGTCAAGTGGTCCCCGAGGTGTTGTGAATAGTTTACAGCCTTCGTGCCAGATATCAGCGGTCAATTCCCAGTCCTGGCCAGAATTGACCCCATGGCAATATTACCCAGCAACTGGCATTGCAACAGCAACAGTAACTTTGGCAACAGCAATTGCATTGGCCATGTTGACGTTTAAGGATGACGTCCTACTTTTCGAGTGTTGCCGTCTTTTTTTTTTTTTCCCCCGTATTTCGCTCAAGTGTGTCTGTGTTGGGGCTATGATGACGTAGTTTGGCAAGTCGGAAAGTATGTTTGGCCTAAATGTTTGTATGTAGGAGGGAGGGTGTCGTTTGGTGTGTACACACCAACAAGTGTCGCCTGGCCAAGAGCGCCAAAAAAGTAAAGGGGGCTGAAAAATTAATGGGAGTTACTTGGCCAAAACAAAATCTGAGAGCTTTCACATACACTTAAAGAGAGATTACTATTTTTGGTTTTAGCCAGAAAATAACAAACTTTTTAATGTTTAATAAAATGTTAAGTGCAATAGATTTTTTTTAATTAAGAAAGAAATAAAAAATAAATATATTTTATTCCTTTTAGAAACCAATAACAGCTCATCCGTGGAACATGCAGCGAGATCGGTGCCGGACTCTCTGCTAGATTCGCAAGATGCTCATCCGTCTGCGCTATGGAAGACGTCTGCAGACCTATCTGAAGATAGGTGCCTGTGTCCTGGTGGGCCTGTGCTACTTTGCCTTCCTTTTCCGTGAATCCCTCAATGCCTACGAGCACAGGGAACGAGTTACGGCTGCGGAATTGGAGGCAGAATCGGAGCCATCAAAACAGCAGCTCAAACTAAAACGTCAGCAATTGCAACGCCAGAGGATTTTGGCCAAGCAACAGGAGCAGGGTAAGGCCTCCACCGGTGGAAATGTCAGTGCAGGAAGCTCATCTCCTGTGGCAGCAGTTCCACCTCCTCCAGCTAGTACATTGAATCCCGTCTATGAGTACTCCGAGGAGCTGCACAGCCGCACGGAGCGGGAATTGCAAAGGAGGAGCGAACATCTGGCCGCCGTCTGCGATCGGTATAAGCTGCAGGAAAAGTACCCACCGAATCCCTGGGAGTTCTTTGTCTCACCTGGCCACAACAATCTCGTCTGGTTAGTGGTTTTATATTACTAACTTTTCTATATTTTCTAATCTTATTTTTGGGTTCCTTTCAGGTGCAACGTCTTTAAGGCAGCCAGCAGTACGTGGATGTATTACTTTAATATACTGGGTGAGTACCAAGATTCACCTTTAACCCTGAGAACTATAAATGATCTATACAACTAAAGCATTTTAATTGATTTTTCAAAGTAATTAAAGCGAAACTAATTCGACTTTGACTGATCGTCTATAGAATTAGTATCGTTTATTATTGATTTTTTTACTATTGTTTTACAACATTAATATTTATAAGTACAGTATTATTTGTATGTTGTTAATAGTTAATTAACGTTTTATTATTTTTTAGCTGGCTACGATGTGAAGTATTTGCAGCGAACAGAGACGCAACCATTGGAGTTGGCCAGAAAGCGTTTTCCTCGCCCGGAACTCGGCGAGCTGATGGAGCTGCTGCCCAGTGCGCTGTCCTTCCTCTTCGTGCGCGATCCATTCGAGCGGATTCTGAGTGCCTATCGGAACAAGCTAGAGGGCAACAAGAACACCTTCTACAAGGCCCTGGGTAACAAGATAGTGCATCGCTATCGGAAGCGTAATCTGGGTGGACCTTGGCCAAGATGCGGACCCACCTTCGAGGAGTTCGTGCGCTTCTTGATCGCCGAGCATGCGGCGGGCAAGAGATTCGATGAGCACTGGGCTCCAATCTATAGTTTCTGCACTCCCTGCAGCGTTAACTTTACCATTATTGGAAAGACGGAGACGTTCCAGAGGGATTCGGAGTTTATAATAAGGCAGGCGGGCCTGGAATCCCTGCTTCTGGGATTGGGCAAGCTGCCGCAACGAAAGCAGCGCAAGATTGGCAACCAAGCGCGTAGTGGGGTTAAATCGGAGGCCCTGGTGGAGCGATATTTCGCCGATCTCGACCGCTCAACGTTGGACCAATTGCTCAAGATATATCGCATCGATTTCGAGCTGTTTGACTATGACTATCTGAGGTACTACGATATGGTGCATCCGTGGAGCATGGAGCAGACCACATCGGCATCGGCATCCGTTGTTCCAGCAGGTGGAACGACGAGTACCACAGCTTCTTTAGCTTTGGGTGGCCATTCCACCCAAGGTCAGGCGACAACGTAGGGTCGGTCAACCAGTTCGACAGCGATGAGTCGTGAAACAATCTTATCAAGTACCTTTTTACACGAAAACTTAAACCACAGACAAAACGAACACTCTCACACGATAAACAAGAACCCAACCGAAGCTAACAAATCTACCAAAAAAAAGTTTATGGCCAAATCAACGTTTTCCAAAAACGCAAAAAAAACTCTTGACCTCTCTTAGATAATGCCAAAGAAAAAGATAAGGAAATGACCCAAAATTAGTTAGAAGATTTAGCATTTTGATGGATTTTTTCAGCCACCAAAATTCTAACACTTGACCCCCCTTGACAATTTTACATGGCGTGGCATGTGTTGTGTTGTAGTTAGATTATAAGTACCTACAATTTACAGTTGCACTCTCAAACCAAAACAAAAAACATATAATTAAACGATATATATATATATATATATATATATACATACCTCTATACCAAATATCGCGAACGCTATTCTTGAAGGCAAGGCTGGAGAGTTTATACAACCAGAAAGTGAGAAATCGTCTTAAAACCAAAAGGAAAATTCTGTATTTACACATATTTACAACCGAAACCCCGAATTACGAATTACGACAACCCTCAACCAACCACAACATATGGTACTTATACTATTATTAAGTTATTATATATACCTATATATATATATATGCTATATATAAACGAAATTTATAAACAGGTCTTGATCTAAGTCTATAACTTTTGTGGACTAGATACGTTTTTCCTAGGCTAACAAAAAAAAACGGAAAATATTCAAGTTTTCAATATGAAAATGATACCAAAGAATGAAAACAAATGGAAGTATTTAAAAAACTTAAAAAAGGAAAAAGAAAAAGAAAGAAAAACCCAACAACAAGAAAAACTTTTCATGTGATGTTTAAGGATTTATTATAAAGAAAGAGAATATTTAATTATTATACTTATACTGTATTTCAAATAATGATAAAAACAAAATAAAAGAAAAACGAAAAAACGAACAAATTAGTGACATACACACGATATTATTCTAAATAAATTTAAATTTTCAAAACTTTTTTCGTTGTATAAATACAAGGCAACAAAAGCCATAAAGAAATAAATAATCTCTTTACCACTCGAAAAGGAAGTTTTAGTTGGGGTTGGGAAAGTAAAGAAAAGAAAAAGTAAGTTAGATTATTAGAAAAGTTCTAACCATTTCCCTGCAAAAAAAGTAGACAAAACCCTCACTTGCAACCTGTCTACCCGCCATCGAACATGTTGTAATATGTGATCAGCACGTGAAAAGGTGATGTAATATTCTCTAAAAAGCTTACTTTTAGATTAGCTCTCTTTTACAGTTGCAAATTTTAATTTGTTTTTTTGCTGATTTTCTTTGATAATGGAAATATGAATCAGCTTGAAAGCGGAAACTTACGAAGGGCGTTACGCTGCGCCTTAGCAACTGCTAAATTGCAATAAAACAACTTTATTAATTAATCTTTCATCATTATAAATAGTTTTTTATTTTCATAGATCAACACAAACGAGTTATTTAAATATTCATATAGATATAGGCATAGTTATAGTAATAATCATATGTATTCTTCTTGTTCTGTGCTTCACTGTGTTTCAGTGTAAATTTTAATGCCTTAGCATATGGATACAGTGATGGGCATAAAATTAATACAATTTTAAAGGGAAATGATCGCTCTCACATGGACTACGATATACGACACTAATCATTCTACCAAATATATATATATTTTGTGTGATTCTCTTTTTTTGTTGTATTTCTTTTTTAATTTTTAAAGTTTCTTAAACTTTGATAACATTTAGTTAAAGCGCTGTGACCCACACGGGCAACCAAAGCAGCAAACAATAAATAAATTGAGAACGACAAACATTAAGTTTAGATATTTAAAATTATTTATTGCAGAATATACATATATATTCATTAGTTCTTTTCAGATTTCCTTCGTCACTCACGTTTCGAATGTGCTTCACGCGTTCCTAAATCGTAATGTATATGCTTGTTTCACTATATAATATTATATATAAAATAAAATAAAATAAAATAAGCTAAGCTTGCAACTAAAATTATGTACACAATAGGAATATATAGAATATATAATAGTAAATATAATTAATTGTGTAATATTTACAACAGCAAATACTTGGTAACGTTTGCCTACAAATATAATATTTTTAACTTTCTCCACTTTCGCTGTGCATAAGGAAACTTGGGATACATAAGAGAGCAATAGCTTAAATGGTGACCCCTAAGATATCTAAGGTCACCAACTAAACTATGCAAACAAATAGCTTGTGTGTGTGAGTGTGTGTGTATAAACAGATTAAATAAGAAATTCATTTGGGCTGACCCTAAGGATTTGTTTAGCTCCAAGTTTGACGAGATCTATATAGTTAAAACATTCACGATTACAAGACTCAAATACAGTGGATAGATACGTATTGACCAGGTTAGAGCCATAGGATCTTATGGCTAAAACCTGATCCTAGAGTTATACATAGAGATAGAGACAAGCATGCATCGATATCTAATAGTTAACACTGTGGTTTGGACATCTCTACTGGTTATGCTTAAAACTTTTTCGATCTGGAGAACTACTGGCGCCATGGAACTCTCTGCTCTGCCATCTACTGCTCTGCTCCCCCGACTCTGATCCCTTCAGAGTCTCTGTCTCTTCGCTCTCTCTCCTGATCCGGCTTCTGCTATAATCATTATCCTCTTGCTTACTCCGCCAGGATCATCTTAATGCTGGCCACCTCGGACTCCAGACGCTCTAGCTGCGACTTAAGCATCTGATCTCGCTCGGCACTGGACACCACATTGACCTCTTTGGGCGCTAGGAGCTTCCTTTGCAGCTGCGCCGTCCACTCGGCACTGGCAATGGAGATGCCGGAGTCCCTTTCGTCGCTGGAGTTGTCACCACCATCGTTCCAAGCTGGCGGCGAAGCACGGTTGCAGTTGGGTTCCTGCTTGATGTGCTGGAGGGAGAGCAGTGCAGTGGCCGCTGCATCCTTGTCGCCAAGATGGGATTTGTGGCGCAGCTTGAGAGGCAAACAGTTGTTGGCATCGCTGCCTTGCTGCGGGCTACTCCTCTGGAGCTGCAGTGGAGCCAAGTGCGCTGGTTCATGCTCCTGCTCATCGTCGCCGGAAACAGCTCCCGATGATGAGGCAGAGGACAAAGTGGAGGAGGTGGTAGAGGAGAGCATGTGCTCGTAGCTGGGTGAGCAGGCCCTCCGTGACAGATTCAGTACACTGGCCGCACTGGCGGACACCGATGAGCTGCTGACCGCGTCCACGGCACTGCTGCTCACCGCCGCCTCGACATTGTGGCTCCAGGCGGCAGCTGCTTCCAGATGATCCTTATAAGCGCTGGGTGCAGGAACATATAAGCCAGCAGGAGGTGGTGGAGGTGGTGCTCCCACAACAGCTGCTGCATTGTAAAGAGCTCCGGCAGCCACAGCCTTGCGCAGACTATCCAGATCCTCCGGTCTGACATTCCGGTTCAATGCCTGCTGCAGTTGCACTTGGAGATTGGCAATTGTGCTGCTGGGCGGGCGGTTGTGCGGATCGGAGATGGCTGGCGAACTGGAGCCGGCACTGGGACTTGGCTCCTGCTGTTGCTGTGGAGGCTGGGGTACTTGCTGCTGATGCGGCTGATGCTGCTGCGGTTGTGGCTGGTAGACATGCTGCGACTGAGGCTGGGGCACAACCAATTGATGCAGGTGCGTTTGAGGTGGCGGAACACCCGCATGTTGGACATGGTGGACACTCTTCACTGTGGCCTCTGGCCGGGCATTGCCATTGGGTCCGTAGATCAAAGGTGATAGTGGTGGACCCACCGGATAGCCATTGTGGCCACCGGATGGTGATCCTTCACCCGATCCACTGCCTGAGGGCGAGGATCCCGAAGAGGAGCCACCACTGCCGCTCATCTTGGCTCTCTTTGTGTTGCTCAGCACTTGCTCACTGGTGGGCAACGAAGCTAGGATCTTCTCCACGCTGACCAGATTTTCCCCAGAAATGTTGAACTTGTCACGAATGGCGTCCAGTTGGGCCTTTAGCACATGGTTCTCCTTGGTCAATTCGATGACGCGCTGTTCCAGAACCATATCATTGTAACGTCTCTTCTCCCGGCTTCTTTTGGCCGCCTCATTGTTGCGTCTCCGGCGATCCCAGTAACTCTCATCCTTCTTATTATCCGGCGTAAATTCACGTTGCTTTCGCTGCGAGAAAAGCTCTTTCTGGGCGGCGGTCAACGCCGACTGCGGTCCATTGCCGCCTTGTGAGGGAGATTGACCCATCATACTATCTCCATAGCCGCTTCCTGGGACAAACTTGCCAAGACTGTCGGACATGCCACTGTCATTGGACTGCGGACTGATGGATCCTCCGTACATGGACAAAGGATGCACTAGAAAGAAAAAAGGAAAGATCAAGATTAGTTTTGGATAGTTAAGTATCAAGGATTAATTATGGCAAAATGTTTTCTGATTTTAAAATTACGCATCCCTAAGATACTTACAATTAGATGCCTCATTGGAGCTGCCGTTCATCGACAGAGTCGGCGATATATTGGACAGCCTGACGTTGTTCATCATGGCGATGTTGGCTTTGTTGTGGCTGTTTGTGGGTGTGCCGCTTAGGACCTCAGGCATCGTTGTGGCCACCACTGCCTCTGGATAAAGTTTGGCCGGCGGCGCTAGCAGTAACAGGGTCTCCTCCTTGCCTCCGGTGTGGGGGCGTGGCCCGTAGGGAAAGTCGCTGCCGCTCAGCTTCTGCTGGCTGTAGTGATGCAGCTGTGCTAGCTTCTGCTGCAGTTGCTGTTGCTGCTGGGTGTTGGCTCCTTGAGGTTGGATGCAGGGGGACTGTAATGAGAAGAAATAAGTGATTGGTTAGTGACTGGATTTTTGGTAATTACATTATCATTTAATGATTAAATGGTATCTATTTTACGTAATTTTTACATGTTTTCTGATCGCGTAAAGTACTATCAAAAGTTTATGAAATACTCCTTCTTTTGTTTTACCTCTTTTGTTTAATCAATTAAAATACTTTTTTAAGAATTTTATATCTAATATACAGAATCTAAGAAATCCTGTTTCCTAATGGCTGGCGCCTAAAAACACGCAACACATTTGCTTCCACCCCCAAAATAATAAACAAACAAGACCTTGCTCCCAATCGAAATCTAAGATTGTGCAGAATATCTCTTTCCTGCTACCATAATAATTTTACTTATCACCTATTTATGGTATTTCTTTCAAATAATTCTTATCTGACATATAGAATGTGTAGAGATGATAAGCTGACAAAATGACAAGGGGTCCAATACTCAATGTAAAATCCGTTCTCCCACCAAAAAGTCTAATGCGATCTTGTATGGCCCATACGAACACACACCCACTCACGCACACTCACACACAGAACTTTCTTTGTTCGATGGTCCTTGCCCTTGCTTGTTGCCCTCGTCTATAGCTTTACCGTTTGCTTTCGTTTTTAGCACAGGCATTTACACAATGATTACGGCCAATGATGCAAGAATCGGCGAGAGCGACGGTGTGAAAGAGAAAGAGAATTAGACGACAAAGGAAACTAAAAAACCAACACCAACAAACAGGGCTAGAATGTAAACAAGAAATCGCACATTGCACGTTTGTTTAAGTGTGAGTGTGACTGCTCCCTCGCTCTACCTCTCTTTCTCACCCTCACCATGACCATCGAATTGGCATTTACAGTTCAATGTGCTCGCACACTCATACACACACACATAAACATAGACGTAAACTTTAGCACTCTGTGTGCCAGACTCTGCTGGCGTCGACGCCGACGCTGGCTGCGCAGCTGCCGGCAACCCCTAAACGGGAGAGAAACAGAGAGGGCAAGAGAGAGAGCAGCGCTGCAGTCGGCGTCTTGACAAAATTCACAAAAACAAAATGACTAAGCTCCGCCAGTCACTCAACGTCCCTAACCCTCCTCCAAACCGCCTGACTCCTCACTTTTTCGGGATTCGTTGTTTTGCGTTTCAATCATTTTGTGTGTTATTGTTTTTAACCGACTAAATTTAGTAAATATTCTAAACTGATTAACTCTTGCTGATTTTACTACGCAAAAAAAAGAAATATTTACATTTTATGTATTTTGTGCAAAGAGGGATTATATCTACTATTTATGTCAGGAAAATGTTCTAATATCTTAAGATCAACTTGAAAAGTTCAGAGATATCTATTTCACATTTAGAACGTATATTAAATCATTTTTATATTGTTCTTAAATATTTTTCTTTGTAACACATTTTGAACTTTACTGCTTGTGTTGCACTTTAACACCTACATTTGTTGTTGCTGGGGATATCCTGCTTGTAGTTGTTGCTGTAATTGGTATCCGTATTGTTTTTGAGTATCAACAGATTTTTCGTTGTTGCAGCCGCTTTGAAAAAGTTCACTTTTTGTTCCAGCGTGCAGACAATCGACATAATGTTTTGTTATTCAAAACGCTTTTGACATTGTTTCTTTGATTTTGTAGATTAAAAAAAATTCTTAAATTTTTTTATATTTTTGTATAATTGTTTTTCATAAAACACTTTTTTTTTTGGGTAACTGATTTAGTTGGCTAACGCGACGTTTCTGCGGTTGGTGCACTTGGCCGAAATGCTTTTAACGGCTCGACGACGGCTCTCACTTGGTGTGGTTTTTTGTTTTCTGAATTTCTTGCTTATCGCGGATCGAATGGGCTGTTTGTGTTTGGATCGGCTATATATTATAGAATGTATAATATAAAGACTTATCGCGAGCGCCTGAACCGCTTCGAAAGAAGGCTGAATCGCAATTGAATTTGTAAAAGCATTTCTCCGACGAGCTGCTCGACGGTCACGTTGAGCCAACACGCATCCGATACACGCGACCCAGCTTGTTGGCTCGAGCAAGTTCGGTGCCATAGGTTCGATGGGGGATAGTGGAGTAAAAGTGAAATTTCTCGAGAACCAACATCGAACCTTCAAACATTCTAGTTGCAAGCGATCACATTGCCGTTGTTGAGTAATCAGCGGGCAATCTAAAAAAATACGTTTTGAGCTGCATATTTGAAACTAGAACGTGATTGCTTGTTTCGTTGAGCGGGGAGCAGGGAGAGGGGGCCGTCGCTCTTGACGCTCAAACAAACACACACACATGTGCTTTTAAGGTGACTGAGGTGCTTTGGCCGCGTGAGTCTGATTTCGATTCCGATTCTTATTCCCATTCTGATTCCAATTCTCCGTACTGATTTTTTTCTTTTGTGCCAGTTGGCTCGTTGGTGACGCAAGCGTCTTACACAAAATATTCAGAGAAACAGCACATTATTAATAATCAAGAATGCATTTACACACACACATGCAAATGTCTGGAGAGTTGGAGCGGATTTTTAAAAAATAGCTTAGGTAAGAAGATTTTTTCTTTCATTTTATTGAGATTTAGTTAAGGAGTTATAAGGGGCAAGGGGGAAAATAAGTTACAAAAATAAGAAAATTTAGAAAACATTTTCATGTTTTTTTCAATATTTAATAATAATTTAGCAAGATTACTCATTAGAAAAAGTACCAAAAATATAGAAATTATCCTACTGATTTTTAATTTTTTCAAGAAAAAGGTTCACTTTTGAGGTTTTATGGTTATTATAAATAACAATTGAACAAAAATGGGTATTTCCCCCTCTTTTTTAATTGCCCAAAATTTCAGATATGGAAAACTCAGTCTGACTTCTAAATACTTATAAGTGCATACCAACCATTAAACTTGGATTAACCAGCATATAATTAAAAAATCCCATTAATGAGCTTGAGTTAGAACTTAGAAAAACCGCTGGATGCATTGATAGATCACGTGGCTTTCTAACTTTGAATAGCTTTGCTAAGTAAATATATGGTCACGGCGATATCTTTTGCAGCCACCAAACAGTCTGGTGAACCATTACAAAACCACTCAACAGCTTATATAAATCATAATTAAGCACTTAACGCTGCGATATGGTTATCAGAATAGTGTGGGGGGCAGAGACTAAAGAGAACTATCAAACTTCGTTGCATTAGAAGACAAAGAAAAACAAAAAGAACAAGAACAACGGAACAGCTATATAAACAGTGCCACTTCACATGGCAAACAGCGATGAATAGTTGTAAAAAGTAAGGTCGGGAGATATTATGTAAGTTCCTGGTCACCAGGCAATGAAATACAAATGAGGAACAAACAAACGAATCGAATTGAAAGAATGAATTCTATTGAATTCTTATAAGGCGGTTCTAAAAGTGATTACAAAATGCCATTAAATCATTTACTAAAATAAATGCTAAAGGAAAATCGAAGAAAAGTGCATATATAAATGCAGTACATATGGAAAAGCTGATTAAGTGCATACATAAACTGCACTTTATCTGTTCTATTATTAGACTTTAATATCTGTATAGCTGGAGTTTTATGCTGAGCTGAGAGAGATATTACTAAGAGAGACTTTTGTTGTTATTGCTAAGATAAAAAAGGCTTTAATAAAAATTATTATATATTATGACATTTTATAATTAATATTTTATATATTTTTAGAAAGTAAACAGAAAGAAATTGATATTTCTGCAATATTTTTTAAACAAATGTTGTATGAAAAGTGTAAAACTGACCTACACTTCTAGCTCTTTAAACGCTTAAAATAAGAATAAATAATAAAACATAGACATAAATAATCATAAACTTAAAAATCTGCTTAAAAAATGAAGTTATCACAATCATTATTCACATTTTATCATTCATATACACCCCGTATCTAATAGCACAACTTAACTTAATAACACAAATCAAAAAATCAACACCATGTTTTATTAAAAAAAAACTATAACTGACCTATCCACTTAAGAAAAGCTCACTTTTTAATTAGTACCGACAATCGATTCCCACTAAACCGCCGTAATCTGGTTATCCACTCCGCAATTTCAATTTCCAAACCGATGCCTAGCGTTAGAGTTCACAGTTTACCAGCTCCCTGATTGCTGTTGATCATGAGCAAATCCCAATTACGCGATCACTTGGCGATATCAACGTGAGCTGGCCGATTCACGTGTTCCAACCAAACGTAGTCACATCTAGTGCTAGGGCTCCAGACCCCCGACCAACCACCCCTTTTGGGATACCCCATAATCTCCGGCACATCCATTATCAGTATGCAAATATATAATAGGGCCCTTATCAAATGCTGTGCTATGACTGTGGTAGTGCTAGCATTTTACCCCGGGTTACCAACACTCATTTATGGTTTGTTGTTGACACACCCATACCCGCTCGTATAAGGTAATCGGTTTGGCGGATATAGAGTGGGAAAGGGGGTTGGAAAACTGCAGCAGAAAGTCAAAAAGTGTTACGAAACACAGTCGCCGTCGTCGCATTCTCGGGTTCTACTAAAAAAAAAACACCTCTCCTTAGCCCGAAGAAAACCCCCCTTGGCTGCATCAGCAGTCAAGTTATAGCAGCGCTATTTATATTTTTCATATAGCCAGAGGCGTGCGCGCTGACTCGACGTTACCCGCTGGACGTTCGACAATCGACGTTCGACAATCGGCCGTTCGTCGGCGTTGCGGTCACGTGTCGCGGAATGTGAGGCATCAGCGGCTAGTGCAACGCTCTCCAATAGCCGGCCTGCGACGGCTCACATGTTGGTGACTTGAGTCGGCTAACGCAAACCAAATGGAAATTAACGTGTTTTCCACTTATTGCGTTTGTTTCTAGGATTGCCTAGTCGGTACAGTGGAACTTATATAAAGTCTACAGAAAGTTAATGTCTATCAAGGAAAAGGATATTTATGTTGTTAGAACTCTTTCAGGCTTGCAAAGATCAAAGTTTCCAGGCTCAAAGAACCAAGGAGGTAACGTATACGTAATATCACGTAACGTACGATTGTTACGTATACGTAATATAACGTTAAACCAATTTTGAGAATATCTTCTACGGATCAGACTTCTGTTACAGTTCATCTTAGTGAAGTTCCACTGTATCAAGATTGCCTGCAATAATATTATTATTATTTTTTTTTTTTTTCCATAACACCCCCCATATGCTGGGCTTGCCGGGGAGCACACAATACCAATAGAAAAAATACAAATCTTTCGCTTGCACATTGCATTGATTGCATTTCGCTGAAGGTTTTTGTTGTTACTTGGCAACGTGCTCGCTTCAATTGTGCCGCTGCCGTAATTGTTGTTGTAATTGTCGCAGCATGTAATTCTTACGGATGCAGTTACTCATTAAAATGGAAAAGGGTAGACTAAAGCTATAGTTGGTTATTAAAAGGTGTCTTAATAGGGTTTCGATTAAAGAGATAAACTAAATAAATATATCTTAAGACACTTTCTTTAGAGTAAAGGGTATTTAAAAATCCACCTAATCTCACTTTCCAGACACTTTTCGTTGACTATTGTTTCTAATCTTGGTATAGGTCATTTAGGAAAATAATTTTCTAGGAAATGCACTTGAATTGGAAGATAAAAAGGCCTGTAACAGACGATGAAAGTCCAAGTAATTAAGTCAAGTAAATGTTAGGGATTGCCTAGGGTTATAAAAATTAATCATTAAGAAATTACTGTCTTTTAATTATGGATAAAACCATAAATATTTAATTACTAAGAATATAAAATAAATGAAAATTCCTTTATACCCTCTAACTGAAAGGTAAGCATTCGCTTTCTTATATAATAACAACATATGCAAGTATGTGTGATTAAATCTGCATTTAAATAATATATTTTTCATTTATTATTAAGCTCTGACTCGTTCTTTGTTCTGGTCTGGTATCTGGTCGCGCTGATTATGTAATTATCGCAATATGAGCTCGCTTTTTGTTTGATTACAAAGTGTAAATATGTACTTGTCAAGTGCAAAAGTTAAGTTTGTTGTTAGCGATCTATGAAGTAGGATTTACTTGACATGTTAAACATGAGAGTTTGAGACTAAAAACAAATAGATTGGTTTTAGTATTTGTTACTAATTTTACATGTGATCTAGCCATCGTTGGGTTCAGAGTTCTCAGCATTCTTAATCTAAATCCTCCATTCCCAAATATGAGTTTTAGATTTTGGCTAAATTTTCCATGACGCCTTCACCAACTTGACCTCAAAAAGCGCGTCATTGGTTTTCCTCCATACTAGCTTTTCCCGCCAGCAGTGTAGATGGGTTTATGCTGCTATTACCTACGCTGCCGCCTTCGTTAAGGCGGTGCAACGTGAGTAAACAGGCCACATGATGATTACCACAGCAACGATGTGGACGTCACCAGAGCCACCAAGAGCCCGCCAATCAGGTCGTATACCCCCTCTTGCACACTCACCCACCCAGGTAAACCCCATTTTCCAAGTGTTACGCTGGCACACAGACCCCGATGCAACATGCAACCTGTTTGAAGCAGCGCTGCTGGGAAAACGTGAGCGGCAAACGTGACAGTCGAGTTCGAAACGATTTCTGGCTGGCCTACTGAGCATTTGAGGGCCTACCTGACGGGGTGGTGGGCGGTACGTACGGGTTGTAGCAGTGGTTGGTGAATGAGGGAGCAATGGGGCGGTGGGGTTTTGGCTGCTTACACCATTCGAACGATAAACATTGTTCGGCAGCGCAGGCACGTTGCCTCGGGGAAAACGGTGGAAAAAAGGGGGGTAGGAAACTGTCGAGCTCTCGAAAGTCACATTACCGCTGTGCCTATTACATGACACACAAACGACGGGGAGCAACAATTGTTTGGACTTAGCCGTGGCAATCAATTGGACACCTGTAAGCGGCAACGTGATGAAAAGCGTGCCCGCCAATCG